AAAACAATACAGTATTGCCTGAGTCTGATTTTAGATAATTACCAGTCCATCAGCTTCCTTCAATATAGGGAAAAGCCAATTTCCATATTTTTTTGGGCAGGCCCAAGTTTTCCATAATGTAAAACCTGAGGAGAAGGCCTATTAAAACTTTCTTCTATACAACTTATTCCCTTAGTAAGGACAGATTTTTAAACTGCATTATCAAGGTTAGTCCAGTTTAATTTATACCAGTCTATATTATTGTCCTTCCTTCCCATAAAATTTCTCCATGGTCCCCAGTCAATAAATTCATATGGTCCCAATTTCCCATAAAAAAAATAGTATTATGGAAAAAACATTAGAAATGATTTTTTAGTCTACAGTAAGGACTTGAAAGAGGCATAGCATTGCTAAGTCTCCATTTCTCCACCAACAATACAGGGTTGCTATGTATAACAATGTATTAAAATACGTATAAAGTATAATACAGCATATAAACAAATTATAATATCTAGTTTACAAAATAACTTACAATGAGGCTTATCTGTGCTAGCCTTACTCAAAGGATCCCTTTTTGTGACTTATGACTATGAAAAGAGGATGGCCTAAGCCACCTGGGACATCCCTCCTTAGTCTAGTATCTAACATATGAAGGCAAAGAATGTGATGTATCATCACTGCAACTAAATTAAGGTTTTTAATAATATGAAGATGTAAAATTTATCATTCCAGCACAACATTCATTAGGCTGTTTGTTCGTATCTTTTCTTACAGTAGAATTCTTTCAGCCCATTCCTTATTGAAAAATTGGTAGGAGTATATAGCCCTAATGGCACATCATCTTTTCACCCTTCATTCTAAATTCACAGACTGAATGCCAAGAGCATGTAAGAGTCTTCTTGAGTGGCAGTCAGACAGGTGAGGTAATAATACTTACAGAAAGAGAACATCTTTCAGGTGTTTTTGACCTGCCGAGAAAGAGCTCACCCACATTGTAGGCTCTCTGATAAAGGTAGAGCCAGAGCTAGAACTGTTTTTAGGTACCTCTCAGCTTCAAGTCCCCTCAGCACAGTTTATAATGAAGTAAAACAAACTGAGCCTGTGCTTCCTCTTCATGATTAAACAAGCCTTTTTTTTTTTAAATCTATAAAGTACCTGTATCTTCCAGCCAATTGCCTGTAACTTATTTTGGTGGATAAGTAAATGCAATGATTTACCATTAAATAATAGGGATACATTCTGAGAAATCAAGCAATTTTATCACTGTGTGAACATAACAGACTAGAAGGGCTACAATGTCGTTAGGCAATATAATCTTAGGGACCACCATCATATATGGGGCCTGCTGTTGACTAAAATGTTATTGGTACATGACTAGTTGTATTTCAGTATTAAAAAAATAAGGCTAGGTATGGTGGTACATGTTTGTAATCACAGAACTCTGGGACGCCAAGGCAGGATTCCAAATTAGAGTTTGGCCTGGGCAACTTAGTGACTTAGAGAGATCCTGTCTCAAAAAAAAAAACCACAAAAAAACGGTTGGGGTGTCATTCAGTGTGAAGGCCTTATCAATCCCTGGTAGAAACAAACAAACAAACAAAAAATCCCCATAACCAATTTCACCACTGAAATATAATGAAGCCCAATGCCCAAACTGTCAACATAGTCAAGGGCCAGGAATTTAGCTCAGTGGCACTGCGCCTGCATGGCAGTGCAAGGTCCTGAGTTTGATTCCTGGAAATCAGAAACCAGAAAAAAAACAACAACAAAAAACCCCCAAAACCAAAAAAGGTCAAATCCCCCAAACTTCAAATTTTATTAATTATACATTTATCAAAATACAGTTTGACTACAAAATAATGAAATTGATTAGCATAAATATCTTTAGGGTAGCTCAACTAACTTATATTTAAATTTCATGATGGTAATAACACGAAAATAATTATATCTGTAATGACCAATGCTCAGTCTGTGGGTATTTGTATCCTTTGAACGGACAGTATCAATAAAAATGAATTAAAATCTCTTCATTAACTTTACTTAGAATTCAGACTTTGTGGGATAAAGTATATAGTACATTTTTCAAGATTTAAAATGAGAATTAAACATATATATAAAGAACCTACTAAGATGGTAGGCTCCCTAATTAGGCTCCTGATCTCATTTTATCTTCTGAATGATTCTATGAATTAAGTATCATTCTCATTTCATCAGTGTAGAAAGGTAAAGTAACCTGTCTGCAAGCAAGTGATAAAAGTCTGGTTCATTCAAAATATATTTTGCTTTTGGTACTGGGATCGAACTCAGGACCTTGCGCTTGCAACACAGGCGCCAGATCCACTGAGCTAAATGCCCGGCTCAAAATATATTTTAAAAATTAGATAGCAGTTTAATGTAAGAAATAAGAAAAAATTGGCTATTGGGCATGCTTTTAGCAAATTTAGTGTTTCAACATAAAAATATACTTATCTTGTAGACTGGCCTCTTTTGGTAGTTTAAACATTTTTTCATGTGTGTTTACTGCTCCTTTAGACTGTAATTTCATTGCAGGTAAACAAGGAACTAAACTTTCACCCTTATGAACACTAATAGCTAAAACTTGTTTTGTAAATGGTGGGCACTCAAGAGATTTGTTTAGTAAACCTGAAAACCAAAATGACTCTTACAGTTCAAAGTACAAAAAGTTCTCATTTTTAAATAACATAGACCAAAAGGATATGAAAATATGTATTTATTATAACAAAGCATTTTCAACAGAGTTTTTAACAATTATACACATGTACATACACAATAGCTGGACAAAATTACATTTTTCACATACTAAAGGTTCATATTGCAAAGACAATAGGCATATATCCAAAAGACAATCAGAAAGCAGCAGGAAATCTTTCTTCTTACTTTGAATATGGAAAACCTTTTAACAGAGACTCTCCTCAGGCAAATCACCAAAGATTTAGTCTCCAAAAATGCTTATCACCTTAAGGTTTTAAATATCATCTTATTCATCAAATTAGGCTTTTTACTTGATGTTTTTACAATTTGATTAAAAATCAACATTTGTAGAAAACATGAAATTTTAAGTGGCCAAGACTATATAATATGCTACCCTTATTATTCCTTAAGATATTAAAATGATACATAATTTATCCTTCACAGCTCAAAATTCAAGGTAAAACCTAGTATTAACTTTGTTCAGTACAGAAATATAAATGCTTACAAACAAGGTATGAAATAAATGTTGGCAAATGTAAGCTGAAAGGTAATTGACCATTTTATTTTCAAATATCATTAATCTTCAAGATTCTTTTTCACACTAAGAGTTCATTTTTACAGAAATTGATGACTGGTACTAATTCATTTATTTTTTTAGACAGGGTCTCACTATTATAGTTCAGGCTGGCCTTGAACTTACTATGTAACCTAGGCATGCCTCGAACTTGTGGCAATCCTCCTGTCTCTGACTCTCAAGTACTGAGATTACAGGCGTGCCTCCACACCCAGGAAATTTAGACAATAAATTATACCACAGGACATATTAGTTACTTTATAGTTAGTGGAAAACAAAGTTAACAACAGAAATGTTTGGTAATATCCATTTACTAAAATGTTACCAAGTTTTTAATTCATATGACTTGTTCACCATAGTAAAAATATTTTTAAAATATTTTCATACTTCATGCATTAGGCTTAGTTTAAGAGAGGACTTTAAAAATTTTGTTTATAAAGAAAAAATAATTTTTCAAAGAGAAAAATGCCTAAGGGAGAGAACATACAAATCATTATTTCTGACCTAATATGAGTATAAATGTCAATGGTTATATAAGAACATGTAAAACCCAAACTGAATGTAACTCTTCAATTTATGCAGCCTAGCAAGTCAAAAATACAATTTTGTCATTACCATGGTGCACAGATCCCATCCACAATTCAAAGACATGTCCTTGGAGCAGTCTATTTTCTTTACAAGATTTATTTCTTAAAAGAATAGAATCTGTTGGGAGCTGTTAATTAGCATAACTAACTCAGAGGTAAATGAATAATTTTCTCATTTAATTTTTTCAAGCTGGAAGAAAATAGTTACGTAGATTTCTAGAATGGGTAGATCAACACTGTAGGAAGGACCTAGTAGCTTAATTCTAAAAACATTAGTTTTAAACAAATCAATGCCTTTCCCTCTTTACTTAGCACTGAGAAATTTCAAATACAAATTGTAGAAACCAGTATATGAAATCTTAAGAAAATCTTCCTAAAAATAATTATAAAAATGTTTTTTTTAGAAATTTAAGATGTAAAATACAATGGACTTTAAATTAGAAAACAAAACAAGAAAAACCCACACATATTTTATAAGATTATTCTTTAGAAAACCCTTGCCACCTGCTTTCATTCTGTTAATCTTTTGGCTGCACTTAGCATCATCTAGAGGATGTCTTGTGACATTTCAAATAAGTCATACTATTGTTTTTTCAAGCCCAATGCTTTTTCTTCTTTTTCCCATACCAATGCAATTATAGCATCAAGTTTCATAAATTTTTTTCCATAGGCCACAAAAGTTCATTTCCTAGTGGAGATAATGTCTTTTAATAGGAAAAAATGAATATATTTGTCATAAATTATTACTATACATTAGACATTTCCATATCAATTTTAAAAAATTAAATGTAACACTGGGAAAAGCTAGGTTTTAAGTTCTAGAGTCAGCTTTAGGCTCTAAAAGTAGCTAAAGTTATTCTGCAATTAAAGCTCAGGGCTACTGTGTCACTTGTGATTGATAACCCCAGTTCCACTGTGCCTCTGACTTGACTTGCAATAGTAAATATTTTTAATGCTAGGAACCATGACTCACGGAGTACTAAGGACTCAAGTTCAACCAAGACTGAAGACTTAACCATTACTACTCAGATGAAGTTCCAGAGAAAAGAAGTCTTTATGATCTCTATCTCATCAATTTTTTGTATTTAAGAGCAGGTTTCAAAATTAACCAATTTTCTATTTTAATAAGTCTCTTAACTTTCATTCAGTTAATCCATACTTATAAACAGAATTTAACAACAACCAAAAAAAAAAAAAAAACACAAAACAAACCCTCCAAAAGTTTCTACTATTTACTTTTACTGAGCAGGCTGAGTGAATGTAATACGGCGGCGCCGCCTTTGGAAAGCCTTTAAATGCCATCTGTTTGATTCCAGCATATGAGGGCCATTGTAGATAAACAATACCGTCATCTTTTCAGAATAAGGAAGATTTTGCAGGAGCTGCAGGTATTAAGACAAACTATCATGTAATTCTAATATAATGAAAAGCAGTTTTCTAACCTTACACGCATACAGCCAAATATATTATTATAATATTAACTAAACTCCTATGAAGCTCTCAAACACCTCAACATAAACCCTATAAGCTATGATCATTACTTTCATTAGTATACCTAAGGCTTGGCCTAAAGAATAATTGACATTCTTGGGATTCCTCTATATTTCATAGGACAAATGGCATCATACAACTACCTACATTTCCTAGGACTGATATTTTCACTTTTATCCATAAACACTTTTCACACAACTTCTATAGTCAAGCACCATGATAAACTGGTAGCCAGGGATGTTTGGTTTATAGGCCAAAGTGTTTGGTAAAAAATAAGGTATTAGCAGATCTGGCTATTCCACACAGCATCTGCTGAAAAAAGTAGATAATAAAATCCAAAATAAATTTGAATTTATAATGGGCTCTCCAATGAAATTTTTCATAAAAACTCAGCTGGAAGAAATCTGATTACATTAATAAACAGTATATCCCCTTTATAATACTTCTTCAGCAGTAGATATAACAAAAGAAAATGCCCTATTGCAATGGTGTAGATCAGTGGTGGTGAACCTATGGCACACATGCTAAAAGGTTTGCCATCACTGATCTAGATTATGGAAAATTCTCTGTAAAGATAAATGTGTTATTATCAACATTAATCTGTATGTAAAAGATGTTGAGATACTTTCTATTTCTTCTGGGTCAAGGTATAAGAAGTGATAAAGAGGGCTGGGGATTTAGCTCAGTGGTTTCGTCGCCTGCTGTGCAAGCGCAAGGACCCAAGTTCAATCCCCAGTACCAAAAAAAGAAAAAAAGAAGTGATAAAGAGTAATGCATGCCAAGCAGGGAGGAAATCTTGGTTCTAGAACATGATATACCTCCTACATTTCTTCTTCAAATAATGAGATTTCCAATTAAGTATGTCACTGGAACTTGTCCCTTATAGAAATGTAAGTATTACTGTAATCTTTTTAGCTTCTTTTTTGGGGGTGTTCCAGCTCATATTTAGATACTGGGCCAAAATCTACTTTACAATTAAGCCACAAAGGACTTCTGAGTATATGAGCACTGTGAGGTTATCTACTACTTACCTTGGGTGTAATAAAGAAGTATTGAGATGTGTTTTCTTTACAGGCAGTGTTTACAACCATTTCAAATACTCTCCGTTCATTAATTGGGTCCATTCCCTACCATGACAATAATAATGATTACATTTGTATTTACTGCAGGACACAGTAAGATCCATTAAAGAATAATGACTGTACCTGATTAATTTCATCAACTACTCTAAATGGACATCTATTAAGCTCTTGAAGTGCCATCAAGTACAGCATGGTGGAAACACTTCTTTCACCCCCACTTTGATGATGAGGAGTCAATTCATGCAGTTGAGTACTACTGCGAAATTTGACTCTAATTCGAATTCCGTATTTATCATAGTCTTCCTATAAAAGATTTAAAAATTTGAAAGATTAGTTTTCCTTGCTAATTTAATTCTTTCATTTGAAAATAGACTGAACACATCAATTATAAGAGTAAAGAACTTAAAATTCTGTAATACCAATTTAAAAGTAAAACAACGAAATATTAAAGTTACTATCTAAAAACTTTAAGAGCCTCCAAAGATCTATTATTTAAACAAAGGAATGATTCAGATTAAAAATGACTTTTTCTCTACTCAATGCCATTCTTTCAATTTTATCAGGCATTCCCAAGAATATTTAAAAATTAGTAAGTGAGGAGAATTTTCATGAAGAGGCACCATCTATTTTAATCCCAAAGTGCTAGATTTTAAAACTGTAAATGAAAATAACTAAAATACAATGGAGTGACATGCCGTTTTCTACTAGAGAAGCAGCTGTGTATGCTACTGCAGAGGGCTACACAGCACTCCCCATTCCTTCAGCTGGCTAAGAAGAAAATTAGCAGGAATTTTTGTATTATGCCATATCAATACATATTGTATATTTATATACACTTGGGCCAGGAATTTAGCTTAGTGGTTCTGGCGCCTGCCTTGCAAGTGCAAGGTCCCGAGTTTGATCCCCAGTACCATTAAAAAAAAAAACCTGACTATATATACTATGCCATCACCCAAAAAAGCCATACACACAATACTTTGTAAAAAGAAATTTGACACATTATAGATGATCAATAAATACTGTTATAATGAGTACATTCAGAATTCTATGTATTTTGCGAAAATTGAGTCTGCTCCAAGGTTTATTTACTGTTCTTATCCATGTATTTATCATTTCTAGGTCACTCTGGCTCAGATTTACCCTAAAAATGAGATCTGGTCTGGGTAGGTCATGGAGGCACGGCCTTGAGTACTACATCTGGTCCCTACACCCTTTCTCTTTGGCACTGTTTTCTGGCTCTGCTTCCTTGCTGCCATGAATGAAGCAGCCTGCTTCATCATACCCTTCTGCCATGATGTTTCTGCCTTGCAGCCAACAGACATGGCCTAAATCCTCTGAAACTGAACCGAAACCTCTCCCCCTTTTAAATTATGGGTATTGGTTATTGTGTTCTGTTAGGGAAGCTGACTAAAATATTCAGACTGGATATAACTAGAGCTAGTATCAGTCACTTGTCTCAAACATCACCATTCCGGGGGTGAAGGGAGAGTGGTGCAACCCTAATGGAATCTCCTAGGTGGTTTTTTTCCTTTCTTTGGATAATTTTTCAGTACGTAATTAGTATTACTCGCCAAGAAATATATTCTAAATGCAATTTTACCTCGTTTTCTGTATGGAGATCAACTTCACCAGCACACTGCATGGAACTAAAAAAATTGCTGAATTTTTCATTAATTTTTTCTACTAGCTCTTTTAAGGGATTTAGCCATCGTTCTTTTACCTAAAAATAAAGGCAATATAAAAATAATCCTTTAAAATATTGTTAAAATGCACTTAAATTATTAAATCCTGATACAAAACTTTACATAAGATAAATGTTTTATCAATTATCTATTTGGTCTTAAGAACACATTTTTTTCTCTTTTAGAAGTGTTTCATTCCATTTTGTATTACTCTACATGTCCATACGGTAAGCATATGATAAAAAAAGACAAAAATTTGAGAATTACCTGTGAAATATTTTCTCTATATTGGTCTAGTTCAACTTTCTTTCCCTTTAGTTCCTCAGTTAATTGTACTATTTCTTCTTCTCTTTTTGTGTATTCCTGAACCACCTGGCAAGAAAAAAAATATTTCATTAAATCTGTCAAGGGATAAAATTATATAAAAAATTTGCATCAATTAAAATATATCTGAAAATGCCAATTGTGTCACAGTTTGTATACAATTAATTTATGTTCTTATTAAATACTGAAAATGCCTTTTAATCCTGAAAAAATAGGTATTGCGTATTTCAAGTTAATCCAACTACTCTTTTTTATAAAGAAAAGGCACAGAACAGTGTGTTCCTTAGGAAGAATCTATTTAAAATTCTAATAGATTCAGAATCTGGCATTTAAAGCACATTGTTCCTGCTGTCTAGCTTATTATTACCAAGAGCTCTAGTACAGAGTGGGAGGCAAGGACTGGAGGGAACTTGTGTGTGCGTGTGTGTGTGTGTGTGTGTGTGTGTGTGTATGTGTGTGTGTGTAGGATAGAAGTGGCAGCAGCTGCAGAATGGGAGTAGAGAAAGAGGCATACTGTAGGATTCAGTCCTGTGAAGCAGGAAGCTCTTGATCTTTCTTCAGTTAATAAAGCATCAATTTCATCCAATGTGTTTGGAAGATCTTGAAAAGCCTAAAGAAAAAAAAAATCTATCATTAGACATTCTATAGTGAAAACAGTTTCAATCAAATAGCTAAAGAAAAATTATCTGCTAAATATCTACTGTCAATCAATAGCATGCTAGCACACAAGGACTCAAAGGAATTATAAACACAGTCTTTTGCTTCAAAGAGCTTATATGTTAAAAGAAAACAAAATGTATACATTGGATAACACCTTAAGGCAATGTAATGGTGTTGAGTATTAAAATAAGCACTACATATCAGATAGGCTACGGAACACAGAGAAAGAAAATATCAGTTCATGCTGCAGGAGATTTAAGAGAAATCAAAGGTCCAGAATTCATTTCTGGGCCTTAAAGCAATGGGCTAGAGAAAAGCAAGTCAGAGGAGAGAGTGAAGCTTGGAAAAAAGAGCACTGCATACCATGGGGGGTGAGGAGTTGTGTCCATTTGGAATGGTGGGTACTTGCTGAATTGGTAGAATGGGTCCAGAATATGTGGGGCATTGAAAGAGAGCAAGAAGTTAGAACTTTATACTATACTTATGAAGAACTTCAAAAGCATCCTAAGAATCCAATTATTTTGACAGGATTTTACCATCAGACTATCTTCTGAATCCATCCCATCAAGAAAAAATAGAACAGATACTTTTCTATAAGGGGAGGCAAGAGGTACACTGTTTTGCCTAGCACAACCTGCAAAGTCCATATAATAAAAGGTACAAAATGAATCTTGAAGACCTAAAAATGATTCTAACACACTGTATTAATCTAATGTCTTAATCTCCTATCTTTTAAAACAATCTTTACAATGTAATCCAATTTCTGTAGACCTTTAGATATTTGTTATGTACATCTGTTGAATTTCTAACTTTCCACTGAGCTTTGAGCTTATGTGCCTGGCAAGTACTAAGTAAGTACTCGACATCCTCACCTGACTCTAACAGATATCTTCAAATCAGGGCGGGGAAACAGACACTTTATTTCATTCACCTGACCCACCACTTTAAGCAAACCTGTTTCAATCTCCTCCATTGAAGTAAATAGCATCACTACTCAGAGGAAAAAATTAGAAGTTCTATCTTTTATCCTTCATCTCAAATCCATAAACTTTTCTGGCTTTTTATTAAAAGATACTTAAATCAATCAACCTCTCTCTGTGCTCTGCTACCACGTTAATCCATGCCACCATCACCTCTTCCCTGTTCGAAATCAATATAATCCTCTAAATGGTCTCCCTGCTACCATTCTTGAATCTCTATTCTCCACAGGGAAGGTAGAGTTCTCTTTCATAAACTAGACATAATAACATCACTTTTTGTTTAAAATCCTCCAATGGATTCCATCTCAAAAATACAATCCAAACTTCTTGTATGGTCTACAAGATCATCTCTGCATTATAATTTTTAGCCCTACTAAGATTCCTTCTATCGGGCCAAATATACTACCATTTCAGGGGCTTTATATGAACTGTTTTCTCTGCCTGGAATATTTTCCCTTCACATCCTCAACTGACTGATTTCTTCTCTTCATTCAAGACTTATCTAAAATACTATCTTCTCAAAGGTGTTACCACTAACCAGCTTCCCATCTTTCTCATTCTAATCCCTTAGCTTGTTTCATTTTTGTTCATAACATCTCTTGCTATCTGACAATATCTATTTGCTTTTTGTGTTTCTGTCTGTCCCCATCCTCCAGATAGGAATATAAAGAAGCATGTCTGTTTTGTTCAATATGTGTCAGATAGCAGGTAATCCATATATATTTAAAAGAATGTATTATCTTCTGATTTTGCTTCATTTAAAGAGTATGACTTATCAAGAATATATCATGTTATTTCTTAAAATAATTACTATAGCTATTACATTAGTATTTACTTTATAAAAACAATGTATTTTGGAGAAGTCCTAAGTATATAGAATAAGCCCTTTGATTAGTTTTATAAATTTCTAATGAATTACTAATATGTAGCCAGTTAAATCCATCCTCTGTGGTTTCTGTGTCTGATAATAATAAAACCTTTGAGGATTTTGCAATTATAATCCAAATGAGTTTTTCTCAGTATTGTTTTTATGTTTAGTGGACATTACATTACTTATTGAAATAGATAAAGTTCAAATTAAGATTCCAAAAAGTCTTACAAATACTAGCTATTTAAAAACTCATTTTCTAACTTGATTTTGACATTATTTTGAATAGGTATATAGGAAAGGTAACATCCCACCTGTTAAAGCCTAGTTATATGGGGTATACAACTAATGGGGGAATGTAGACAAAAGGGCAGCATCTCCTAATTTTACTGATTGATGTCAGCCTACGAAATACAATAGAAGTAATGAGTAGCTTTTTCTTCCTTTCTTTAGGGACAGATGTTAACTTATAGATTCAGCTCCCAATGAACCCAACTTAAACACCCTGATTTCGAGAAAAACATTTTTTCTTTGCGCCTTTGTTTTTTCTAAATATCACCCCTATTAATGTTCCTAATATGTATCAATTACTCATACAATGCTTCTATGAAATACTATATTCCACATCTCCCAACTAAAGGGGTTTAGAGGGAAAAGGCTACTCTTATCGTAAGAATGAATATTATGGTACCAGTAACTTTTAAATGTAATTCCTATGTCTTCAGAATTTTAGTACTAAGGAGTAAGACTGGTGTCACATTTGAGTAGAAAAAAGTGAAATTACTTTATATACATATTCAGTTTAAAAATAGGGGGAAAATCCCCTATTTTTATTAACACAGATGTTTCTCATAAGGCCTAAATTACTCTAGGCTTAAAAATAATGTGTTTGGCAACTGTGGCATTATACATTTTTTATACTTACTGTCTGATATTCTTGAGGAACAGTCTGCTGTGCACTCAGGTTACATACTTGCCTAGCTCTCTTCATAAGTTCCTTGCACTTCTGCAATAATCGTTGCCTATTGTCATCCAACTCAATAAAATGTTGCTATTACAAGACAAAATATTTTGAAAATTTGAATGTTACTGTTAAATCAGAAGGCTGTTTTATTAAACCACCACATATCAATAAATTACTGCATGTTAATTATGATCTAACCCAATCATTTCAGCCATATCTCAAATCAAGACTGCTTTTAATGAAAAGGTTAAATTTCAATTTAAAACTTTAAATTGTATCAGCACACTAATAACTTGGAATTTCTCTAATATGCAGGAACTCTGAAATTTAAATTTAATTGCCTTTTTCTGAAAGTTTAATTTAGTTATATTAGGTATTAATCATACTCTAATGAAATTTGAAAAACACAATACTCAGGCTTCGTATCAGAAAACTCAGCACTCAGATGTGAACCTTTATATTGTGGTTGCTAGTTTTCCAAGTGTGTTTTATATGTAGTTATCATCTTTTCATGGACCTATTCATTCCTTCATGCAGCAATTACTGAGAACCTATAATGTGCCAGTATTATACTCTGCATTAAGCACAGAAAGGTGAATATGAAAAAATATACACAGAATCATTATGGTAAACAGAAACAGGTACTATTTTCTGAATGTTTATGTGTTAGCTCCTGGCTAGGTGCTTCACATATATTATACCTTTTATTTCTCCCAACAGTGTACCAGTAACAATATCTCCATTTCACATGCTTGGGAAAAAAAAAAAAGACTGAAAAGTACTAAGCAATCTGCGCAAGCTCACACATTTATTTAGAGGCTATCATGATACACATCCATGTCTGCTTAGAGTACACATGTTTTTTTACATTAGAACATAAGGGTTACAAAGCAGGTAGACCGTACAGAGAAAGTAAATGGGAGAAGGGGACTTAGCAAAATCAGAGTGGTCATAGAGTCTATGACCACAGAACAGTTTTAAAGAAGAAATACTGAAGAAACAGTAGCAGAAGGGAGTGATTATGAATGGAAGGGTATGGAAGCCTCAAAGACAGGTTTATTTAAGGAACAAGTAATTTAGTATGGTTAAAAAAGATGATTTCCTCCCCCTACACCCTAACACTGGCGACAGAATTCAGGGTCTTCACAGTGAGCTACATCCGCAGTCCTTAGTTTTTAAGACAAGATCTTGCCAAGTTGCTACATTGCCCAGGCTGGACTCAAACTTGCAGTCTTCCTGTCTCACTCCCCAAGAATGTTGGGATTATAGGTAAGTACCACTATGCCCAGCCAATGGAGAAGAATTCGGGGGGGGGAGGGGTACCAGGGACCAAACTTGGGACCTTGCATTTGCAAAGCAGGTGGCGGAACCACTGAGCTAAATCCCCAGCCCTGGAGAAGAATTTTTAAGGATGTAAAAGATCAGAGTTGGCAAGGTGGGCAAGGGCCAGACTACAAAAATTTCATGAGATGAGGAGGGAATCTAATCTACTGGATGTATTCTGCAGACCAACTATTATTACAACTACTATCCCATATGCTAATTTATTTCATCACCAATATAGTCTTTTGAAATGTGTTATCTCTCTTTTTAGATGTGGCTGACAGTTATTAAGAATCTTGCCCAAGGTTATGGAACTAGCAGTGAACAGGTTTCTAAGAAAAAAAAATAGGTCTATCTTATTCTTTCCACTAAACTTCAAACTAGTCTGCACAAAAAGTGCCTTATGGTAGGGAGTTGATGCACTAGCCACACCCCAGATCTATTTGAGTAATATCTCTGAGGATGGGGCTTGGGCATTTGTATTATTAACAAGGTCTCTGGATGATTTTTATGCATACAACTTTAAGAGCAAATTCATTAAACCAAGACAACAGGAAAGGTAAAGGACATATACTAGACTAAAACTACAAGCAAGCTTTTGTATTAATCATTTAGTACTATGGTTTCCTTTAATGAATTCCTCAGTCCCTGACACAAATAAAAGAAAATCTTAAGTTGTTATCTGCAGATGCTAACTTTGGACTATATAATCTTGTTTTCTTCTGAACATGTAAAAATACAGAGGTAATATCCATGTTCAGGAGATATGTAGTCTACCTTTTGTTTATGAATGGACACAGTATTTCATAGAGTGAATATACCTCAATTTATTTAACCACTCCCTTATTAATTGACATTTAAGTTGTTTCTAATTTTTCACTGTTATAGGCAATGCTGCATTGAAGATCCTTTTGGACATGAGTACAATTTTTTTACAACAGTCTCATACAATTGGAACTGCTGGCTCAAGGGGCATGTACATTATAACTTCTGATAACTATTGTCACACTGCCCTCCAAAAAAGCCTTATAAGTGTACCATCTCATCCCAGTATATGAGAGCTTATTTTCCCCATTTTAATCATTAGTCTTAGAAGCCAGAATTCCCTTTTCTGTGATCCTCTTATTTTAAGCAAAATCTTTTACAAATCTTTGGCTAGTCTGTTGGAGTTCATTACAATTAAAAATGCTACTTTTGCTTTAATTTAAATAATCAGATTATTCTTCACTGTAATTGATCCCTTATTCCCTGAAATACTAAATTTTTAATTGTTTACTTTTAAATAGGTTCTTTTCTCTTAGAATTATTTTGTTCTTAGCTGGAGACCTATAGTGAAAGGATGACATGAAAGCTGAAAGACTTCAAAACTAGGCAAACATTCTTTTTGTCAAGATTTTATATCCAGCTCTGACCGATTTAAAAATTTTAAGTTCATTTTTAATATAGGTTTTTAAATTTTCCATAACAATTAATAAGTAGTTGTCATTTTGTTTCTGATACAGCCTTTAAGATGTGCATGGCCTCTGACCCAGAATCCTATTCAAGGAATTTATCCCAACCACGTAAGTGTTCATAAAAATGTGTATTTACAAATACACACTGTTCATGAAAGTGAAAAAATGGGGAACTACCTAAATGTCTATGAAGAGATCAGATTAATACAGCCTTATGATGGCATATTACATAGTCATTTATAGCAATGTTAGAATACTTTATGAAGCCAGGCGTGGTGGCACATGCCTGTAATCCCAGCATTCAAGAGGCTGAGGCAGGAGGACTGCTGCGATACTCGCAGGCAACCTGGGCTACGTAGTAAGTTCAAGGCCAGCCTGAAATGCATAGTGAGACCCTGCCTTAAAAAAAACAAAACAAAAGGATACTTTACGACTAGAAAAAATATTTATAAGTCACAATGATTATTTTAATCCCATTTTCTAACCCCCCCAAATAAAGGATATACCAAAATTTAATAGTAGGTATATCTGGTGATGAGTCTAAAATATTTTTTTCTTTGTATAGTAACTAAGTCCACAAGGGAGACATAATCAGGACAAATTTTTAAAAAATTTCTCTTATCAAATTATCTTAATTTTTATTTTATATAAGGTAAAATGCAAAGGCAAAGTTCAATGAACTGGTTCTCGACATGTGGCAGGTGGAAATATTTGAGCACTGATGAAAGTGAAGGGTCTGACAATGAAAAGTCACCTGCAGGTACAGAAGAGGAAGAAAAAGAAAGAAGCCATCTTAGTAGATGATGAACCATGCAAAAAAAGTGGCCTTCCAAACCATCCCAAACTAGCACATACCTGCTCTAAATGAACAGTATTCATATTACAGGTATGCTGTGGTTGCTTGGATCATCATTTCAATTTTCAAATGTTACTGGGCTTGTATCTGCAAAGAAACTTCTATTTCTTTTTTTCTTAAATAATAACACAATTTGAAGATCAAGGATCAGGATCTTGCTTTCATTCTACCTGGTATATATATTGATACTTTCTCTACTTAATAGGGATTTACCCTTTATCTCCTCACAAATGAGTGAGTTTATTTAAGTATTTCTATTCTCGCCAGGCAGAATGGCATATGCCTATAATCCTTGTTACGTGGGATGGGAGGCTGAGTCAGGAGAATAACAAGTCGGAGGCCAGCCTGTACAACTTAGCAAGACCTTGTCTGAAAGTAAAAAAAGGCTGGAGATGTAACTCAGTGATACAACATCCCTAGGTTCAATTCCCAGTACTGTTAGAAAAAGAAAACAAAACAACTCTTTTTCTTCGTTCTCCTTTAAGTTATATTTCTGAAGTGCCACCCTTAAGTAAGTTAGCTCTGAAGGCCTTACTACTTTCCTATAAAAAACATAAATCAAATAGTAACCTAGTAGGACTTTAACTTTTTAGAAATGGGTAGTTGTAAAAAATTTTTTGGAAAGTAAATTATTGACTAGATACACTTAGAATAGTAAGAGATTTATATGGCGTTTTCTTATCCAAGAGTAACCTCTTTAAAGGTGGCCTACATTAGAAGAACCAGTTCCTAATCTATATATATTATGTGCAGTCTACTCACTCTTATTGTATCTAATTCTATGCAACTTTGATATTCTCTTGAATAGATGTGAATTTAAAGACAAGCTCCAACTATTAAGCAGAAAGAAATGAAGAGACTATCTTTCTGTATGCATAGAATGTGTGGAGCAGAAATGTTGTAAGATCCTCTAAAGTTTTAAACATTCAAAAGTGCTAGTCCTCCGAGCTCCTTTTTCCTAGAAAGAAGTGTGATGTGATGGGAAAAGCACAGGGCCAGAGAGACATAGTTTCAGATCCTGCTTCCACCACTTACCAAGTACTCTCTTTCCCCATCTTGATGCCTTCACTGTAAAGTTGGATTGGTACCATATATATGTTTTTTGGGGTTTTTTTTTTTGTACCAGGGATTGAACTTGGGTCTTTGTGCTTGCGAGAGCCAGGCATCGGTGGAACCACTGAACTAAATCCCCGCCCCCTTTTTTGGTACTGGGGATCGAACTCGGAACCTTGCGCTTGTGAGGCAGGCATTGGTGAAACCACTGAGCTAAATCCTGGGCCCTGTATGTTTCTGTTGGGTATTTTTAACAACTTAGGTAAAGTTCCTTGGTAGAGCTCCTGATATCTATTATGTGCTGGGTTAGAAGTTAATTCTGATCTACTTCTCCCTAAGGGCCACTGTACCCAGTCAAATGTAAAACAAGGGACAGCTGGATAGAAACTAAACATTCCTAA